GGGATATCCGACTCAATTTTGTGCAGCAGAGTCTGTTTGGTTCTGCTACGTGTCAACAGGAAATCACTGAACCTCGAAATTGGCTTGACACTGTTGCTGTCAGCCAAAAGCATGCACTTAGTAATGGACCATAATTCTTGCCCCCTTCATGTAATTTAGATTAATTTTTATCACAGTAGTGGAATGTGAAAATAAAAAGTTGTAATAAAGACTGTCTCAAGTAGAACAAAAGCTGAATGAGGCTGTTAGCGTGTGTAATCTGCTGATGTAGAAAATCCAGAGCTGAAAATCATTATAGTTCAGCCCAAGCATGTATTTGATTTTGTGATTCTGAAGTACTCTTTTTTCACCTGAATTTTTTATAGCATTTTATTTTTGAAGGGTCCCATCACAAAGCTAAATCTTACACGGTAAGACTGCATGACACAACATTTTATTGTGTAGGCTACCATAAAATCTTAAATTAAAGGCATCGTGAGGAAATGCATCAAGTCACTCTGGGTCACCCCACCAAACCCTCGTAGCACTTGTTACACAGTGCAAAACATAAGCCTACTTAGTAGACAGCATGAACAAACTAACCTCAAAATAATTGCACAGGGTTACTTTTGTTCAAGAGTCATGAACCTGGAGGTGGCATCAACTTTGTTATTAATTCTGATCAGTCAAAGGTGGGGTTGCAATCTTCCCCTCACATCAACAAACAGCTTAGTGGAATTATTCTGTCCTTTTCTTTGACTGCATGGTGCAAACACTGAGCTTGATTAAATCTTCCATTTTTGCTGAAAGAAAAATTGGTGATGGGTGCACTGAAATAGTGTCCACACTCCCAGTCAAACAGAGGGAGCCACTGCAGCCTGTGGTCTTGAGAAGAGCAGCCCACATGAGCTCAGGAACCAGAGCATGGTTCCAACTTCTTGAAGTAAACAGGACATAGGGTCAGGGATGTGACCAAATCCTCTACAGCATCCCCACACGAGCACAGGTGCCTTCTGGCAGGAGCCCAGATGTGTGCAAAATTCAATGCAGACAGAAAGTAGCTTAACAGGCTGGCTCCTGCTCATGAGCCCCTCTGTACTCTGGAGTGTTGCCCAAATCCCTGTGCAGCTCAGCTCCTCACCTGTTGAATAGGAACAATAAGCATTTAGATGCTAAATCAAGGTTTTAATTACACTGGTTTTATGATAATAAGACCATACAAAGTATTAACTAATTGCTGATTTCAGATATACAGAGCTAATCCCAGCACCCTCAGCAGGACCTTTTTTATTCCTATTTGAAAACAAAACAATCAAAATGTTTCTGCGTTAACAGGAAAAAAAAAATAAAAATGTCTCCTTCATCACATCTCCATAATTTAATTTGCTTCCCATGCTATAACAAGGACCAGATTTCAGCTTACAATGTGCCTTGCATAGTTCTGACCCAGGAACAAGGACAAGGGAGAGTTAAGAACAGTATCCACCATGGTGTGTGTCTTTCACAGAGAAGTGGCAACTCTTATGGTGCTGGTCACAGCCCACAAAGCTCTAACTGAACATTATATATAATAATATTTTTTTTAAAACCCACAATGAAGTAAGATGGCAATTAATTTTACTACCTAGGTACCTTGCCCAGCAGTCAAATATTTGCACAACACCCGGTGATGGTTCCCTAGCCTGTGCAAACATGAAGCAAACTGACCAAAACACTGTCATTAAGACCTAGCAGAAAGTTGTGGTTTATACAAAGGCTCATTACTGCTCGTTAAGAATGCTTAAAGGAGTGAGACAGCAGTTAAGGACAACCATCAGAGGTCTCATCAGCTCACAGCATATTTCAAATGCAGTATGCAACGAGGGGAACAGGTGCAAGTGCTAACCCACTGCAGGGCAACCTAATCCTGCTGCTGCCATCCCCCCATGCCAGGCAGCAGGGACAGATGGTGCAGGACACTGCCACCGAGCTGCCATGCCAAGGTGGAATGGGATGGGCAGGGGCAGGCAGCTGCCCAGCCCCGCCGGAATGCTCCTCCATCACCACCTGCTGCCCCAGCTCTGCCCAATGCTCATCACAGCAGGGCCTGAGAGTTCAGCCTCAAGGTTTTCATTGGGTCTGACATTCCTTCTCAAATAGACCATTCCTACCAGTTATAGTTTGAATTAATTTAGAACAAATGATTTGGTGCTCTTAATGTCTCAGTTTATTTTGAAAAATTCCAGTCAATGCTGAGCTAAGTAGTCCCAAAGACTCCCCGGCTCTCATCAACCCTGAAGTCATCCAGTTAAAAAGAGACACTAGTCAAAACGTCAAACCACAATAATTTTTAAAGCCATTGTGCAACAGATCTACAGCTACATATAAACCACATCAATTCCTGAAGAAATTATGCAATACTTGGAATTCTAAAGCCTAAAATACCCTCCCTCCGGATGCAGCCTCTCCTGTCAGCCAAGAGCATGTTCAGAAGTTACAGCAAATAATAAAAGTCTCATTTCGTTTTACATGACAATTGTAACCATAATGAGTGTGGTTCATGAGTATAATGAAATGTGTGAATTAGATTATTATATATGATAAGGGCTTAAATGCAGAAAAAACAGCCCAGGAGCTCTGCTGACTGTGGAGCTGAAGGACCTCTGAGCCAGCACAGGCAGAAGCTGGTGAAGCTGCACCAATCAGAACTACAGAAATCTCTCTGCTTCCAGACTTATGCTGTTGCACTGGCCATTGCTTCAAGGGTATCCACAACTGTGGCACTTTTTAATATGGAATCCTTACAATTTTTTTCTGTATTAACTTTTTCAAACCTTTAGATAATAATAAGGCCTTTATAATAAGGTTTCTTCCATACACTTCTCTCACTAGAAAAAGTCTTTTTCTTTATTTCAGCTCTCCTGCTTGAGAAATCCTAACTTTTTCATTCTAGCTCTGAAAATATTTTTTCTAGCCAGGCAAAAGAAACAGGTATTATATCACTGTTGAATGGGAGACTAAATTAAAAACTAAGACAGGTCAAAATTTCAGATGAGGGTTTGTTTTTAATGAGATTTAACTCAAATGTAATTCAATTCATCTTCTTGACTTCTGCAGAAAATTTCTCCCCTTCTTTTCCACCAGTCAAATGAATTCTTTCAACCCAAGCAGCAGGATCACTGAGTACTTTATCTGAGCACAGGAAGGTGCTCAGTTCCTCTCCCTCAATCATTGCATGGGAAAGAAGATCTTTAGACTAAAAATCACAGAAAATCTCACAAGATATTATTTTGTTACATGGTTTTGTGTCCTTCAGGCCTTCGCATTTGTGAAACAAACAGAAAAATGGTAAGAACTTTCTATTTCCATTTGTGTACTTATTAGAACTGAAAAGCAAACATATCTTGTCCTGTAAAACAGAGAGAAACAGAGGCCTGAGTATGTGCCAGGTAAGAGAAAAAAGAAAGTCAGCTTGGTATGCACAGTAGAAGTTTGATCCTGCTTCTGTCTGGCTGTATCAGGTAGGTACAGTGCAACAGTTTTCATGCTAAATCTCCCTGACAGTCACCCCCATGGGAAAAAATGGAGAAGCTCTGAAGTACCACGTCATAGTAGCAGTTGGTAAATGTCCTTTTAAACAGAATGTTACCAGTGAAAATTGTAGAGTACCAAAAAACCCGCAATTATCACCCATCAGAATCAAGTTATCTGAACATGGAGAGGAGTTTCAAGAGAATGAGGACAGAATTATCTAGAGCAGTTTGCACCACCCTGAAAAAGTTCAGAGACATAACTACAAATGTTTAATCTTATTGAGTGTCTCCATGTGACTCAGTATGATACCAGCAACACCAAGAAATTATGTGCATTTCTACAACTGCCGTTTGTGCCCCTCAAATTAAAATAATTTAATTGCTTCTTATTAAGATCTAAATAACTAATGAAAGGCAGGCTTGTCCAGGAGTTATGTGTCATTATTTACTAAGTATTTGACATATCCTGCTTAGCTGACATTTGCTTACTAATACATAGTTAATCATGTGAAAATAATTAAAGGAAAACCATCACATTCCCTCCGTTTTTTTCCCATTTTGTTGGCAGCATGTTTTTGCCTCTTAAATGCACTTCTCCTGATCCTTTTCCTGGTCATCCAGTTTTCCCTTTCTGCTATTAAGCATTAACATTTTATTGTAGTATTTCCCTGAGTTGTCTGTCTGAGACGGTGCAGGTTCTTCAAGTCACAGGTCCGTGTCTTAGCCAGGTGTTTCTTCACCCAAAGGACACTCTGGACTACATTTTGAGCTTGGAACAGCTGCCTTTATGTGTGTCTCTTAAAGATACAGTATCTTACAGATTTTTTTACCCTATAGCAGCTCACAGAGTGAGGTTCGGCAGAGCTTCAAAGGGAAGGCAACAAAGACATTAGTCCCAGTTTTCTGCGCTCAACACCACAAACTGCCACAATGTCCTTCAGGAGCTTTGCTGATGTTTGTGCACTGGCCACCAGCCCAAACCTCAAAGCAGTGTATAACTAAAAGGCAGCTCCATCCTTTAGGGGAACCAAGTCAAGCCATGAATCACAGGTTCAGGGTTTAGCTCCAGCAGAGAAAAGCTTTTGCATAAGTTCCTCACTTAGCCTGGGCAACTGTTGGACATGACAATGCACGTTCACTACGCCCCAGGGAACCAAAAGATGGCACAAGGCAAGTCACGTAGGCTCTCAAAAAACCATCTGAGACTTGGCAGTGGGTGAGTTACTCCTTGATGAAATACAGAAAAATGAAGTGCATTTAATAAATAAATGTTAATCTTTGTTCACAGACTCACCACTTGTTATTATATATGTGAGCAGAAAGATAGGTCATCAAATAGATTACACGTTGTCACATTACTTTCTAAGCTCAACCTCTTATGATGTCAAACCTATTTCTTTTCTGGTATACATCTTTTTATAAACACGTCTCTGCCTAGATGAATAAATAACTAAGGATTTGGGAAAGGAGTGGTTCCTTATTACAGCACTTCTTCCTTCTCTGTTACAGGAATGACCTGCCAAGCTCGAAGTTCATACATTACAAGTGAGATCCTTTGGGGTTACCGTTTCACCCCTGTCCTGACTCTGGAGGATGGATTTTATGAAGTTGACTACAATAGTTTTCATGAAACATATGAGACCAACACACCAGTTTACAGTGCCAAAGAGCTGGCAGAGATGGCCAGCCGAGCAGAACTGCCTCTGACATGGTCTGTTTCCAGCAAGCTGGACCAGCATGCTGAGCTGGAAACCGAAGAAGAAGAAAAGAATCAAGAAGACCAAAACGAAAGAAACGGTGATGTGGCCAACTTGGAGAATGAGTCCAAAGTGTAGAACCACTGGAGGTGTAAGGGCCACACCACCTCCTTTAACTTCTTCTTTGCTCCTCTTTCCTTTCTCCCATGCACTTTTTGTTTTCTCTTCCTTATTATTCTTAATTCCAGGAAAACAAATACTCAAGTTGCGAATTATCTACCTGCCCAATTTAAACTCAAGAGATTCATAGACTAAGCAAAGGTGTGGGTTAAAGCTGCAATACACATTATCATGGTGGAATGTCAGTCCCCACCCAGGCAACAACTCCTGCCTTCCTCTCTGAGTTCAGGCCTGCAGCTTTATTTGCAACAATAATAAAGTCAAAAGTAGTGGGAATATAGACAAGGGATTTAAAAGGAAAGACTAACCAATGGTCATTAAAGTAAGGGGCTTTGCCTCCAGATTTGACGTATTTCAGAACAGTTTCACATACTGAGTGACAAGCCTCTATGATATGGGCCTTGCAGCTTTAAGATGAAGGTGAGCAGAAGGATCTGCAATCCAACACGATAATGTACATATGCCTTATGTAATTACTTTCTCTTTACATTTAGTAATAAACACCGCATGTACAAAAGTACTGTAGTAAATAACTTCTAAATAATGTACATAGATATGTAATTAATGTAGGTTTAGAAACAGAGTTCTAGAAATATTGGGATGCAAAAACTAACTACCCATTGAGTAGGCATTTCTCTTCTAATATTTGGTTTGTAATACTGGTTTTTTTTCCCCTATATCTATGGCTCTTCTAGTGCATGACATTTTCTTCAGTGTACCAGACTGGCAGCTATTTAGAGTACCTCACTGCTTGCCAAACAGATTGTTTTACTGACTCTAAAAAGCCATAAGTCTGGGAGAGTGCAGGGTAAAGAAATCATAACCTAATTACTGAAAAACTGTGAAAATGTTTACAAACAAGGCAAACCGTTCCTGGTTAATTTCTTTGGCAGTTCAACAGAAAATTTAAGCCGAGGCAAACTCATGGCAAACCAGATTTTCCTGTATACTCTAAATATAGTGGGCATGTTTCATGCAGAGGTATTATCCTTTATGTGCAATACCTAGTGAAACTTCTCCCTTCTCCTCACCTAAACCATGGGACATCAGCACAGCAGTTTGTTACATAAACAGCACAAGCCATTGCAAACCAAATGTTGCACCTTAGCGAGTAGATTTTAGCTACTCTCCTGGGAAAGAAACAGCTGAATTACATCTGAAGCAGTAATCAATGAAATTCACTTGTTGCTGGTGCTGGTGCTTGGCCTGTCCTGCAGAGTCACAGATGGTGTGCCATCCCTAGGTACGTGCTTCAACAGGGTTTCTCTGCTAAACACAGAGTTCCTGCCACCTGTGCTCAGGAGAGTGGCTCCCTAACAACTTTCTTCACCTTAGGTTAGCTCCTTGGCTGTTGTAAATCTGTAAATCCTGTACATTCTGACTTGACAACTTTAAAATTAACGGGGCGGTGATAATTTGCATAGCTTACATGGCTACACTCCTGTGAGCAAGGTTGCTGACATGCACAGTCCCAGCTTCACAGATGTGCTCTCTGAGGGGCTGCTCGCGTGGTGTGGCATCACCCAGTGCTAAGGACTGCTCAGTCAGGCCCAGTGTGCATAAAATACTACCTGTGGAGAAGAAATTGTGTTGCTTTTGGTGAGCTTTCACTCAGGCCCATCAAGAACAGCATTTCTGTCAGCAAAGGAGAAGAAGCTGCAGCCTTAATTTTGTTTTTTATACCTGCCTACTCCAGAATGAGTGACTCACTGAAGAGAATCTGAAGCATTTTTTGTACTGAAACATTTATGTTAAAATAGAAGAGAGAAAATATAACCTCAGGAGAAACTTAGTGGGCAGGTGGAAATTTTGCACTGTGATACAGCTTTCGCATTAACTTCACACCTATTTCCAATCCTTCTTGCTGAAGCAACTGCCCCTTGCTAATTTTCACAGAGCGTGGCTGATCGGTGGGGTTTCTGCAGGTTCTGTAGCTGCTTCATGCTGAGGTGGGCAGAGCAGGGGGTGGGGAAAGGGATATGTGCCAGAGACTGTTCAGAGTTTCTTGTTTCAGTTCTGAACAGTTCCCCTAGAAGGCTTTCACAAAGCAGCATCATGTAAGCAAAGGTGCAGAATATGGATTTTTGCTCCCTCCACCTGGGAAGGCTGGTTCCACCAACTCAGTATAGGTTACTTATGCTTAACTTTTGTGAAACAATGTTCGTTTTGCTACCGACCTTTTGAATCTCGTTCCTTCTGCCCCAGCACCAGCAGCCACCAAGCTTATCTATCCCAACCTACCCATAAGGCCACCTGTGAGAGGTACTGAGCATTTTTAAGGAAGGGTGGCTCCTCAGCTCCACTGGAATACAGAAGCCTTATAGCAGGGGAGCAGGGGGAAGTGCCGCATCAGTAGCGACGAGCAGCCCGGGTGTGTTCGTCCTAGAGAAAGGAGCATGAGCTGAAAGCAAACCATTCCTCTGAGGATAAACCTGCTTTTTGCTCTTGTAATTTACTGGGCCACTCTCTAATTTATTGCTGCAGTTTCACAGAAGTTTGCATTACTTAGGACAGCAGCTCAGGGCCCTAATTCAATGTTTTTTGTGTCCTGTAGCACAAAAAAAAATAGACTTTTTGCCACTGGGGCATGCGCATGTGTAAGCTATATTTTTGTGAATAGGGCACTTAAAGCTTAAGGTGTGTGTGTTCATCTCTCTCTTTCTCCCCACCTGTATTTTATTGTCTTTGGTATTAATGTAGGATGGACTGTAAAGTTTATGAAATCTCATTTTTGTAACATAAGCTTAAAAAAAATAGAAGCCTCCAAAACTTTCAACAGGGAAGCTTCACATAAACTTTGTACTAGAATGTCCCTATCAAACACCTCTATTTTTCTACTATGATTGATTAAGCAGTTTAACAATGTATTTTGTGTCAATGATTTCAACTGAACTGGTAAAAAGACAATTAAGAATTGAATGCTATTAATTAACAATGGATTTTCAAGCCGTATATGCTGAGTGGTGTTTTCATTAACAGAAAATAACTTAACCTGGGAGCTTCATCTCCTAATCCTAAACAAAATACTATGAAGTACCAGTGCCCTATGGGAATATTTCTGGCAAATCACAATTTAAGGAACCTAAATAATACAACAGTTTAATGTAATTGACTACATGATTAATCAAGACCCATTACATCTCTATATACTTCATGAATACATTTTAATGTCTATTTCTCAGTGTCTTATGATTTACCGGAGCAAAAGAATTTACAAGATAAATGTGAGCTCTCAGTAATCTACTGTAATTCTCAGTTCTTTCTTCCAGTGAACAGAAATACCACAGAGGTGCTTTGTGCAGACTTCATGCACAGTGTCACACAATGGTTCTGACTCCTTCTCACTTTTTTTTTCCTTTCTTTAAAAAACACACTAACTGTTTCTGCTCTGCTCAGGTTTCCAAACCAGATCTTTCAGGTGTTGATAATAGACACAGACATACTGCTTTTAAAATTTATACTGGGCCTTCAACAAATACTTGAAACTCTGGCATATTATTTATTAACAAATACCATCTAACCAGCATTAAAATAAATTTAGGAATTTATTTTAAAATAAGCATCAAAAAAGCAAACATTCTTCTAGCAATACATAGCTGTTATAATCTAGATCTTTGCCCTACAAAGTCATAGTCATTGGCACTGATGTGAGCCAGCCCAACAGAGTTAATTTCTGTCATCAAAGGTGAACATCTGCTTCTGTGAAGGGCCTTGCTGCAAGAGTGCAGGCAGAGAGGGGCTGCACAGCCCTGAGTCAGAGCTCTGTGCACCCCTTGTGAGGCAGAGGAGAGAGGTGACATGCCAGAGGATGTTCCCCAGCAGGCACCTGCCACACAAGGCAGAGCAAGGTGCTGGCAACGTGCAGGAGTAAAAGGTTTGACGGATGGTTTGAAGTTGACTTTAAGACAGGCTCTGGATTTAATCCTGGTGCATGGAGGTGCCCAGATCTGAGGTTGCCCATGTTACTCTGCTGGAGTTAAAGGGGAAGCCTGGGCCTTTCAAAACCAGGAAGAAACCTCTCTTCTCTTTTCAGCTACAGGGCAGAAGCTCCAATTCCACTGAGATGCATTGGGCTACTACTGCAGGAAGACCTGCAGTCAGTGCTCTCTCTAGCCCAGGAGGTTCCAAACAGCATCCCACTTCTCCCAAGAAGCTAATAATGCCATAACAGCAGCAGTAGAGCCCCAGCCCCTATTCCAAGGACTGACTATTCTCACACTAGCCCAAGAAAACTTTGAATCCTTGTTTTTTAATGGAAGAATGGAAAAATCCTCATACCCTGGGTCCATAACAGCCTCCCTCCAATGGATCAGGGTGCTCCCTGGCCAAATGGCAGACCTCAGGCTGGGGAAAGCACAGTGCACAGATTTCTCACCTCCTGAGCCAGAACAGCCAGCAGTCAAGCTGCTGCCTGCCGAGGTGCAACACCACCACCTTTGCCTGTGTTTATGAAGGCAAGCATCTACTGCATCTCCTACGAGAGCAAATCTCTCAAGGCCTGGGTTCGATGTGCTCTGAACAGCACCTACCAGACCAGCCTGGTCAGGCAATGGAAGTGAAGGGAAGCCAAGTTCTTTTATCTCCCACCAGATTTGCTGTCAGATGAGTACAGCAGGGCACAGCCCTGAGATGAGGCACAATGTTAAGCCCAGAAATCCTGGCCAGCAGAAGGAAGGGGTAACAGGGCTCCTGCCTTTTGCAGACTTGAACTGAAGCAAGTGATTAATTTATACCACTTCCTCCAGCTGTTAAAGTGGATGTGAATTAGAGGCTCAATGCTGAAAACTTAATTTGTAGATATGGCACTGGAAGGGCCAGGCACCTTGGGTGGGACAATTCCTATCAGCTACTACCAGAGCTTCTGACTGTGAAACATAAACTTTTTACTATTATGGAACTCTATGTCCATCAAAATAACTTATCATAATAGTATTCTCCTTAACAGCCATGTTGCCTCA